CAGAAGCCGTCCCCGTCAGACGCCTTCGTCCCCGTCAGACGCCGTCCCCGACAGACGCCGTCCCCGACAGACGCAGTCCCCGACAGAAGCCGTCCCCGTCAGACGCCTTCGTCCCCGTCAGACGCCGTCCCCGACAGACGCCGTCCCCGACAGACGCAGTCACCTTCAGGGCTCGTCTCAGCATGGTCTCCAACCATTGGTGAGACCAACCTCTAAAGGGATGCTGGGAGTCTCTCCATGGACAGATCTTCTGTTAACCTCATAATAAGAGGCTGAAGGAGGTTTTCTGGAGTCCAGTGGACCGGAACCGGTTCAGTTCTGGCCCAGAGACCAGAGCCGGTGCTGCAGAGGAGTTTCCTGAGGCTAGCAGCATCGTAGCTAACAGAGGCTAGCATCCAGAGTGGAAGGTGGCGCTGTGGGTGGTCCCTGCTCAAGGATAAACTACCCCCCCCCCCAACTTCCTATGACAAACAAATTCAAACCATGAAAATGATTTTTGTAACTTTATTTGATAAATTGACAGATATTTGAATTCATACAGTATTTTTGGTCGGATCATTTTCATCCTTTAAACTAGAAACCTCTGAAAGTGGAGAAACTAAAGATCTCAGAGGATCTCAGCGCCTCCTGCAGCCGATGGCTGCTGAGGCGGCATGTCGCCACCTGCAGGGCGTCTGAACCTCTGTTACAGACCCAGGTCGGTAACCTGGTGAAAAGGGGCGGAGCCACAGGAGCGATAGACCGAATGAACCAACAGGCTTTGGTCAACATCAGACTTTATTCAGGATGAACTCCTTCTGGCCCAGACAGTCTGGAGGAGAAGCTAAACCCTGACGCTGACAGTGCGTGCATGAGGTCAGAAGTCGCGGTCACACCTGATGTCAGCCATGCTGTCTGTGGTGGCGGCGTCCTTCGTGGAGTCGGAGCGAACGAAGGAGAACTGGGCGTGGCCTTTCCTGGGCGTGGACGGGTCCTCGGGGACAAACTCCACGATGTGAGGGTTGTCCTCGTTGCGTCGGACGCAGCCTTTGTTGATGACATGCATGATGCAGGACAGCACGTCGCCGGTGCTGCAGGCGAATCGGCCGGCGCCCGCAGGCCGAGACGCCTCCTGCTTCTGACACGAGTCCAGGACCTGAGGAGGACAGGAGGTGAAGGCGGCGTTGCAGGAAGAACTGCGGGTCAGAATCAGAGCCGGGCTCACCTTAAAGACCAGGTTATCGATGTGCATCTCCTTCTCCTGCTTCATGATGTTCACGATCAGACAGTAGATGAAGTTCCTCTTCCTCTCCAACGTCCCCGCAGCGTCTTCGTCCACATTCAGGTACGTCTGCCTGGGCAGCAGCTGCGTCACCGTGTCGCCCTGCACACTGCGCGTCAGCACCTCCTGGTTCAGCCGGAGCACACCTGAGGACGGGAGGGGGTTAGAGAGGGGACAGACATGATGGGGGGACGAAGAGGAGAAAAGCTGACCGGCGGCGGGCTCGTCCGGAGGGCTGCAGGTCAGCGGTCCTCCCTCGCTGATGAGCGGCTGCAGGGCGTGCAGCAGGACGGCAGCGGACAGTCCGCTCTCCTGCAGCAGATCTTGGACTCTGACCTCCTGCAGAGACACAGCAATGGAACGGATCAGAACCGCCTCGAACCCAGAACCCTGCAGGGAGCTGGACCCACAGCAGCGCCGCTCTCACCTCCAGACTGTTGAACTGCAGCAGGATGAACATCTGCAGCGTGGAGACGTGCAGCGTCCAGCTGCCCATCTGCAGCTCGGCGTGACCGAGCCAGGTCCACTGCAGCCGCCGAGGCTTCGAGTGACTCAGGCTGTACATGGACTGACCTGCAGGGTCACACAAGTCCGGTTCAACTTATCCCTTACTAAACCAGAGTTAAATAAACCCCAGTTAATCTGAACCTGAGTTAATCTGAAACAAACCCGAGTTAATCTGAAACAAACCCGAGTTAATCTGAAATTAACCCAGAGGTAATCTGAAACAAACCAAGAGTTAATCTGAAACAAACCAAGAGTTAATCTGAAACAAACCAAGAGTTAATCTGAAATAAACCAAGAGTTAATCTGAAACAAACCAAGAGTTAATCTGAAACAAACCAAGAGTTAATCTGAAACAAACCTGAGTTAATCTGAAATAAACCCAGAGTTAATCTGAAATAAACCCAGAGTTAATCTGAAATTAACCCAGAGTTAATCTGAAACAAACCAAGAGTTAATCTGAAATAAACCCAGAGTTAATCTGAAACAAACCAAGAGTTAATCTGAAACAAACCAAGAGTTAATCTGAAACAAACCCGAGTTAATCTGAAACTGATTTAATCAGAAATAAACCCGAGTTAAAATGAAACAAACCAAGAGTTAATCTGAAACAAACCCAGATGTAATCTAAACCTGAGTTAATCTAAACTGTGATTAATCATAAAAAAACCCAAGTTAATCTGAAACAAACCCTAGTTACTCTGAAATAAATCCAGAGTTGATCTGAAATAAACCAAGAGGTAATCTAAACCTGAGTTAATCTGACATAAACCCGAGTTAATCTGAAACAAACCCAAGTTAATCTGAAATAAACCCAGATTTAAGTGTAATTAACCTGAATTAATCATGTGATCTTAATCTGGATCAATCAGAATAAACCCGGTTCAGACCGTCCTAATTCTACGGAACTGGAACCCACTGTGGGTGTAGAACTGGGTGAAGTGGTTCAGGTAGGAGCAAAGGTCGGCTGGAAAATGCTTGGCTGGTTCTTCCAGGAAGCAGAGCGAGGATACGGCCCAGCATCGTGGCGACAGAACCAGGACCTGGACCTCAGCCTCCTCCTCTGACTCCATCCAGTCTTCCTGAATCTACAATGAAGGATAAAAGAGGTCAAAGGTCAGAGTGTTGGCCATGTGGTTTAGAGCTGGATTAAATCTCTGTTCTGCCAGGAGTTCTAGTCCAGTCATTCCGATCCGGCCAGCGAGGCGCTCACTGATTGGTTGGAAGCTAACCGGGTTAACCCGCCTACCTGGTCCTCTTCCTGCAGCTGGCGGTCCAGCTGCTGGAGGCGGTAAAGATGGAACTCCTGCTGCAGCTCAGCCGACTCGCTCAGGTTCTTCAGCATCTGCTGAGGGAAGCGACTCGGGAAGCAGCTGCCGATCTGAGCGATGACGGCGCTCTCCAGCCATACGTTGCCCTGGGCCAGCAGCCGGTCCCCCAGGTAGTACCTGTACAGGTAGAGGGGCGGAGACTCGTCAAAACTCTGCCGTGCTCCGGATCCTGGGCGACCAAAAGGTCAGCGCTGCAGAGCTGGGCCGGTTCCTACCTGTAGAAGTGTTCGAAGGTGTTGGCGAGCTCCAGGCCCGACAGGAAGAGCATCGGCTCCAGAAACTGCTGCAGCCGCTCCAGAGTGGCCACTCCACCAGGGGGCGCCCTGCTGGCCTGGATCATCTGATCGATATACTGAGCAAAGCGCTCGCTGACCTGCAGAACAGAACATCATCATCCTCAGAACACGTAGCATCTCTCTGCTGTCAGTCCGAGTTAAACCCGACATCCAGCTGATCCAGCAGGACCAGACCCACTAGGACCTGGAACCAGCGCTCAACTTCTGGAGCAGCAGAAGGTTAAGGAGACCCAACATAAACCTGGGATTAAAACCCACATAACTCTGGGTTTTCTGGGAAACCCAAACAAACTGAACCCACTTAGGTCTGGTTTAAATAAACCGGGTTTCAACCCAATTTAAATTAACCTGGATTAAATCTGATTCAGTTCTAGTTTAAATAAACTAGAGCCGAGTCAGAATAAGCTGTGATCAAACCAAGCAGGCCTTAGGGATGAAGTGCAGGTAGAGCCTAACCATAAACCACAGGCGACTCGGCGTGGTTCAGACTCACATGCATGGCCTTCAGGATGGAGAGCTGCAGCAGCGCGGCGGAGAAGCCGTGCCGCAGAGCGAGGATGAAGGCGGTCTGCTGCCCAAACAGCTCCTCCATGGCGCTCTTCAGCCGCAGGTACAGAGTCCGATAGCGCTCCACAAAGTCCGGCAGACTGCAGCTGGACTCCAGGAACCTTTTCACCTGAAGGAACGATGCGATTCTCATCACACGGTTTCATATCTGAGACCCGCAGAAGGTGGCTGAGCGGTGCTGGGCTTTACCTGCTGCTGCACCACCCCCTGCCAACAGAGGGCGATGCCTGCGATGCTGCTGCTGCTCCTCACTTTGGGCTTGACCGAGGAAGATGAGGAAGAGGAGGAGGCAGTGGGGCCATCTTTGTTTTTGCCCTCCTTCCCATCTAAAAGACATCAGAGACGTGATGTTTGCTGCAGCAGGCAGAGTTAACCAGAACCAGGCTGCAGCCACAGACAGAACACAGAACCCGCTCCGCTTCCCTCCGACTCAGAACCGGGTCTGCCTCAGATCTGGATCCGAGTCAGAACCGGGTCAGAGTCAGAACCACCAGGGGAGGAGCTCAGAAACAAACATGAGCTGAACAAGCTGGGTGGATGGGCGGGTTCAGGCGCCCCCTGCTGATGGGTTCTGGTTTTAGAGTGCAGCGCCCTCTGGTGCTGCCTAGGGGAAGTGACTCGGTGAGCCCTTCAGGTCATGAACAGATTGACCAGCTGGGGGAGGCCTGCCAGCATCCTGTCCTGGTGAGGACCAATGAAATGAGAGCAGAACAACAGACAGAACGGGCTTCAGATCCGAGTTCATACTCACTCTTCAGCTCTTTGCTCCTGTTCAGACCTTCTGCAAACAAAACAAACTCCTTTAGTCTCTGAGATCAGAGGCAAAGTCCTCCTACTGTCCTGCCTGTGGACCAGTCCGTCCGCTAGACACGCTGGACCAGTCCGTCCTCTCTGGAACTGGGCCAGTCCGCTGGACGAGCTGGGCCAGTCCGTCCACTGGACAGGTCCTGTCCGCTGGACGAGCTGGACCAGTCCCTCCTCTCTGGAACTGGTCCAGTCCGCTGGACGAGCGGGACCAGTCTGCTGGACGAGCGGGACCAGTCTGTCCCCTTGGGGAGCTGGACCTGAACTGCTACAGCGATAGCGTCACACTCACTGGACTTTACAGGTGGTTTGAGCTCCTCGTCATCAGGCGCGCTGGTGTCCACGTGGACCAGGAGGTGGGTGAGACGCCTCACTCTGGAGTTAAAGATGGCCGCCCGGCCCTTACAGCGGCGGGCCGACTCTGCGTTGTCCAGGTACTCGCTGAGCAGCCAGGAGAGCGGGCTGCATACGGAGGATTCTGGAGAGAACAGAGCAGACACGGTTCAGTTGACCAGGCTTCAACCCGTCTGGGTCAGAACCTCAGAGTTCTGATCAGGGTGTAAGGAGGCGTGTCGGGGTCACCTGACTGGGTGATGCTGAGAACGATGGGGCTAATCAAGGCCTCCCAGCAGGTCCGGCCCAGGGCCTCGGCTGCCTCGGCGTCCGGCAGGAACCGGTCTGCAAACATCTGCTCGTGCCTCAGCGCACTCTTCAGCCTGAAAATGCAAACACACCCTGGTTCCGGTTCTGTGGCTGCAGGGTGACCCGTTAATCTGGACAGAGGAAATCGTACTTGTTGAAGAGCTGCAGCAGCTGAGCCTTGTCTTCCACCACCTCCTGACACCAGGTGTGGGCCTTGGTGCTGTAGAACAGGTAAGTACGCCGGCACAGCTGCTCCTTAAACACGGGCCAGAAGGTGGGCTTTGGACCCAGCACCTCGAAGCCGTGGACCCGAGTGTCGATGCCGCCCTGAAACAGAGAAGGAACACGTCCAGATCTGAGGAGAATGACCTGCAGCAGAAGCTGAAGGAGCCGCCCCCCACCTGCTGGCATCGTTTGATTCGGATCTGGATGATGGACCAGAAACGGGTCATGTTCTCCAAAAGAACCACGCGGCTGGCGGAGGCCGGGACGTTGACCTGCAGAGATGAAGACGGAGCACTGATCAGACAAACATCTCCACCTCAAGCTGCCCAGCAGAACCATCCTCACCGTGTTGAGCTCTGTGCTGATGTAGGCCGGGTCATCCCCACCTAGAACCACTATCCGAGCCGGCATGTAGCTAGAATCCTCACTAGCCACCAGGATAGCAAGTTGTCTGAAGATGGAAATTAGAAGGTATCACCAAAAAGAAAAACAGACCCTAACACCACCAAATGGCCACACCCACCAAACGGCTGCACTGCCTGACCAAAGAGAAGGCTTTGTTAACTGCTAGGCTAGGCTCGGCAGCGCTAGGCTAGGCTTAGTGGCGCAAGGCTAGAGTCAGCGGCGCTAGGCTAGAGTCAGTGGCGCGAGGCTAGAGTCAGTGGCGCTAGGCTAGAGTCAGTGGCGCGAGGCTAGAGTCAGTGGCGCTAGGCTAGAGTCAGTGGCGCGAGGCTAGAGTCAGTGGCGCGAGGCTAGAGTCAGTGGCGCGAGGCTAGAGTCAGTGGCGCGAGGCTAGATTCAGTGGCGCTAGGCTAGAGTCAGCGGCGCTAGGCTAGGCACGTGTGCGCTAGGCTAACTTCAACGTGGTCCGTTTTGGCTTAGGTTTTGCCCCTCGTAAGGTCCATTTTGGATAATCTGTCCCTAGCAAAGGCTTCCTTGGGAACGTCCCTGATTCTACCTGCTCACTGTGAGGTTGAAGGTTACTCATAGCCACACCCACCCAGTGACCGCACCCACCTGATGACCACGCCTTTGTGCATGTAGATGTTGATGAAGTGGGATCCAGTGCAGCCATTAGACTCCCAGTAAGTCTTGGGGTTCTTGTCGGTCAGCTTGTTGGCTCTGTGGTGGTTGGACGACACCTCCACCTTCTCCCAGCATTTATCCTCCTTTAGCTCCACACTGGAGCCTGAACACAGCGCCAGTGAACCCAGTCAAGCCAGTTCTGCATCCAGTCCTGACTGAAGAGAGACCATGACCTGCACTGACCTTGGCAGAGGTTCCTCAGGAAGACGTCAAAGAAGGGAATGTTGATTGGCTGGTGGCTGCGGCGATGTTCCTCAATCTGTCCCAGCACCATCTGACAGTAAACAGGAAGCAGAGGAAATGGAAACCATCACACTTCTGGTGGACCTACAGGGGCTGAGAACATCCAGCAGCTGCTGGGAAGTACCCTGAGGTCCCCCTGGACAGCAGGTCTCTGGAAACCGAATCCTTCCCTTGAAGAGCGGATGTTGCGTACCTGGATGCATCCTGCCAGCACGCTGGTGGTCATCTTCTTGTAGAGGCTGGCGTACTTCTCACAGTCGCCGATGAGGTCTCTGAGCTCAGTGACCAGCAGCAGGTTGGTGCTGTGTTTGTCCAAAGCCTTCACCAGAGCCTCTTTGGTCCCCAGGCGGCACATGACCACAGCATAGTCTTTGTTGAGAGACGCCAGACGGTACAGAAAGCGGATGAACAGCTGCACCACCTGTGGAGGCATCACAGCACATTCAGCAAGAGGCTGCAGGTGATGCGGCAGCTGTCAGGCGACGCGGCTAACCTCTCTGTCGTTGATGAACGCCGTCATGGTGGACAGGCACGGCTCAATGCTCTCGTGCCATGGCAGCATGTCCTCCTGGTAGTTGTCCAGGAACTTGTTGAGGATCCTGCAGGAACAACCAGCTGGTCAAACAAGCTCCCACAGCAGAGAGAAACGCAATGAGAGCCGCCTACCGCAGAATGGAGAGCTGGACGGCCCGGTCAGCTCTATGCTGCTCCATCAGACGGACCAGGTCCTGGTAGGTGTCCCGACTGTGCGTCACCTACATCAGCAGAGGAGAGGAGCATCAGCCCTGCATTTCTGGACGGTCCGCTCACGTCCAGTTCACAGGAACCCACCTGTCTGCGCTCCTCCTCCAGCTGAGTGGTGTCGTCACAGAGCAGCTGCTCCAGAGTCTGGATCACCTCTTTGGTCACCGTTAGCTCCTTAAGACTCACCACCAGCATCTGCAGCTCCGTTCCCTTAAAGTCCAGCTGTTCCTGACACTCTGAAGGCACAAAGGACCCCAGTTCACTATCTATAGAGCAAATCACTGACTCGCACAATCCATGCAGGCACACAGGTGGATCACTGGTGGTAGCCACTGCTACCAGTGACCTTCAGTAAGAGCTGGACATAAAGAACGAAGCAGAATGATTGAAAAGGGGTCCTTATGTCCTCCAGCAGTCTAAGCCTATAGCAGCAGAACTATAGAGATAGCTCAGGATAACCTGAGCCACTCTAACTAGAAGCTTTATCAAAAAGGAAAGTTTTAAGCCTAGCCTTAAAAGTAGTCTGCCTCACGGACTAAAACTGGTAGTTGGTTCCACAGGAGAGGAGCCTGATAACTGAACCTATTGCGCCTCCTGAGAACTACGCGTCATCATTAGCCTAAGACTGGGAACCCAGCTTTGGCACTAGCGTACCTTTGCTATGGGGAGAGGACCTTGGCTATAGGGGGCGGACCTTGGCTATGGGGAGCGGACCTTGGCTATAGGGGGCGGACCTTGGCTGTAGGGAGCGGACCTTGGCTATGGGGAGCGGACCTTGGCTGTGGGGAGCGGACCTTTGCTATGGGGAGCGGACCTTGGCTATGGGGAGCGGACCTTGGGTATGGGGAGCGGACCTTGGCTATGGGGAGCGGACCTTGGCTGTGGGGCGTACCTTGGCTGTGGGGCGTACCTTGGCTGTGGGGCGTACCTTGGCTGTGGGGCGTACCTTTGCTCTCCAGCTTGTGCACCATGGAGATGTGGTTGAGGGCAATGATGGCCAGCATGGTCTCCGCTCTGGACAGCGTCAGACACTTCTTGAGGACGGCACTGACGCCACAGTCCACCAGCTGCTCTGCCAGGCTCTTGTGGTTGGCGATGAGCATGATGATTACAAGCAGCCCGTTCCGCACCGACAGCATGCAGCTGCACAGAAAAGCAGCCGTCAGTGGGCGGAGCTGGGGGGCAGTTCGGGGGGGTGAGATGACAGACTTACCCTTGGGTCTTCAGCATGACGTCGATGGCAGAAGGGATGGCGCTCAGCAGGCCTCTGGAGCCTTCTGGTGTGGCAGAGCCAATGCTGGCGAAGATCTCCAACATCATCTGGGTTCCTGACTCTGGGAGCGGGGGGCTGCTGCCGACGCTACGCAGGTCGTGTTTACTGGCGCCAGTAATGACCTTCAGAGTCTGAGACAGAGGGTCAGGGTCGGGTCAGGGTGGAAGGACAGACACATCAGAGCGAGTGCAGAGTCTTACCGCCAGCGCCAGCTGGAGGACATGCGCCACGGTGGAGAACTCCTGCATGCAGGACAGCACGGCTTTGACTCCTCCCTCGGTGGCAAAGCTGACCCTCCACTCGTACCTCAGCATGAGCAGGTGGGTCAGTCTGAGGGTGCTCACCACCACGTCTTTGGAGGAGGATCCCAGCAGCTCCACCAAAAGCTTCAGCACCTTGTCTCTGTCAGAAACGATGAGCGTCAGTCCGTTCCGTCAACCAGAACCGTTCGCAGCAGTCTACCAGCAAACAGACTACAGCAGACCTCCTTTCAGGGAGGGGGTTCCTACCGTACGGTCTGGGCATAGTCGCTCCTCATGGAGTTCTTCTCCTGAGAGCTCCTGTCCTCCAGCAGCCGGGTGAGGAAGAGGACGGCGGCTAGATGCTGGGCGGGGTCTGAAGCCCCTCCCTTCTTCAGGATGTCCACCACCTCCCCCAGCTTCTCCAGTACGCTCTTCTTGCCCTGCACTCGGGGATTGTTGAACACTGCAGAAGGACAGACAGATGGAGACGGACTGATTGATGAAGGACCTTGGTCTTAATGACGGAGATGTCCCCACCTTTCATCTTGTCCTCCAGGTCGTCGGGGTATTTGCTGTCGTCTTCCTCTGGCAGCTCGCTCTCTGTCTCTGAGCTGCCTAACTCCTGAGGAACGTCCTTCTTGGCCTTCTTGGAGACGGAGCCCTTTGCTGAGGAAGAGGAGGCGAAGCTCTGCGTTCCTCCTCCCGGAGTAGGTGGAGTCAGGGAGCTTTCTGCTGCAGAGCAAAGCCCAGTCACATGCTGCTGTGGACGGAACAGCAAAGAGGTGGCGGACGTGTCCTCACCCAGCAGCTCTTCGTCCTCCAGGCTTCCTCCTCCTCTCCTCAGGTAGTGCTTGGAGAAGGTGTGGGAGCAGAGGAGGTCGCTCAGACACGACGACGGCAGGTTCTGCTTCAGGTAGTGCAGCAGCTTCTTGGCTACGTCTCCGCGGATGGACAGGTCGATGAGCGACGAGTCGTCTGGCTCCACCTCCTGGACAGAGGACAGACTGCCGTGAGAGTTGGAGTCTTTGACCTGCAGAGGGTCGATCCGGCTCCGGTTCTCACCTGCTCATCTAGGCTCTGCAGCAGGAGGCCGTTCACCTCCTGCTGCTGCTTGGGCTCCAGCTTCTTGATGAAGAACAGCACCTCCCACCATTCAGCTCTGCTCAGGGCCGCCGGCTCGCTCTGCGGCTCGTCTGTCAGGTACGGCAGCGAGTAGAGACCGCCGGGAGGCTTGGAGAAGAAGGTCTGGCTAACTGAAGAACAGAACAGACAGCGTCACCATGAGGAGAGGAAGAGGAGGAGCTGAGGAGGAGTTAGGCATACCTGCTGTGAGTTTGAGGGTCTCGGCCAAAGAGGAGGCCTTTTCCTGCGAGTCCTTCTCAGACTGGCTGCTGCTTCCGCTGTCCAGGATCTCCACCATGTGCCAGTGGACCCAGTAGGTTCTGGACAGGGAGTTCCAGTACACCTGGACACAGGAGAGGAGCCTGTAAAGAGCTGGGTTCTGGATGTGGAACCAGAAGGACTCGGACAAGGGAACTCGCTCCTCACCTGGACAGGCGGCGACCCGTCGTTACTGTAGCGGAACTCCCCTTCATCCCCGGCGCTAACCTCCTCATAGTCCTCCAGCATGCGCACCGTCATGCCGCTCTTCAAGTTGTCCTGGACGTACTCTACGTAGGCAGAGCGGCTGGTGAAGTCCGACCTCGCCTTGAAGCCATTTCCTGGTTTCTTCTTCGTTGGTGTGGATGCGGGCGCAGTGATTGGGGACCCGGCAGAGAGGGAGACGGATGGGGCGCAGAACCGGGGCTGGAAGATTGACCTGAGGACCGGATGACACGCCTCCTCGCCCTGCTCCTCTCCACAGGGACCGCCCCCTCCTGGGAGATGAGCGGCGTCCTCTGGCAGCTTCCGGTTGCGGTCCCAGCCCATCACTCGGACCAGCTCCGAGATCAGGTTGGCCATGGCCATGGTAAAGTCGAACTCTCTGTGGAGGCGCAGCAGCTCGGGTTGGTGGGTGGGGCCAGATGAGGAGGGGGCGGGGCTTCCGTCCGGTCTATCAGAGGAAGTCTCCGCCCCCGCAGTGTTCAGTCTATCCATCAGAGACGTGACACACAGGTAGCGCTTCACCAGGGAGAACAGCAACTTCCCTGGGATCTGAAGAGACCAGAAGCAGGTGGGTCAGCGGTAACAGGTCAGAGGCTGCCGGGTCAGAGGTAACAGTTTAGAGAGGGTAGG